GGGGGGGGAGGGGGGGGTTAACTGTCTGTCTTTTTTTCTATTCAGATTTCTCTTGAGAGTGATATAAAAAGAAATTTCAAAGCATTATGGTATTATGGAATTGAAAGTTTTTAGTCGAGTCATTATCGCTTCTCATATGCGTAAAACATCACCATGGCCTTTACATATCGGTACGTTAGAAGCTTGGTCAGAAAAAGATCTATGGCTTAGTGAGCATTTCTCAGTCGAAGAAATCAGCGAAGGCTCATTCGAAATTGTAAAGGAAGAAGTGATGGAGAAAGTAAAATTGAAGTATACGTGGATGCGGGTATTGTTTCCATTGTCGTTGTTTTTACATAAAGCATAGCCATGAAATTTTGTTTCCTTTTGCTTTAGTAAAGTTTGGGCTGATAGTTTTACTTGATGCAGATCACGTTAATTAAACTCAAGTCTTTAACTAAAACCAGAAATAATGCTCACTAAAGATGGTAAAAAATCACTGGCCCTAAGACATTAACCAATTCAATATTTTCCCTTAAGAAAGGGATAAGCAGCCTGTGGTTTTCTAAAATTTTCTAAGATTTCTAAAATCATTTTTTAGTGAAGAGAACAAAAAATAAAAAAGAATAGTTACGAGGAATGTAGAGTATGTAGTCGACATGATAACTTTTTCATCATTTTTTATATCCTTCTTTATACCTCGGGGATATTTGTTTTTATTATCATGCACTCATCTTTGTTAATTATCCACAAAAGCCTGAAGCGTACATAAAGTTGGATGCAATTTATCATTTATTTTATTTTCCATAAATTCAATTCGCATTATTTTCTCTTATCAAACTACTTTTCAGCTAAAGAACGCACCATTTGTTGTTGCTATGACAATGAAAGTTAGTGAACCAGAGGACAAAATTTCAATGCTTTTAAGGAATTCGAGGCAGGATTATGTACTGGATAATCTTGTCTACCATCGTCTCGATATTCAGGTTAATTTATTCACTTTGATGCATTTTTGGAAAAACTTTTGCTGTAGTCTTTCAGACATTTTGATGAAATTTGTTTCAGAGAGATTCATCGCTTTCCTATTGTTCGCATTTTGGCTATCTTTCTACTATGAAAGTGGGTGGTGTTTACTTGAGCCCAAGTTGTTTCACTATTTCTTCCTTACAACGTTCACCATCTCCGCAATGGATTGCAAATTACTGGGTATACTTAGGTATTTTTCATAAGTCTTTTCCATTTTACTATTTCTACATAACATAAAACGGAATGGGGTGAAGTCGATTTATACATGAATGAAAGGAAAAATACTTTTAGATAAGTTTTCTTTTCATCTGCATATCCAAGAAATCGCCAGTTGGATGCCTCTTACGACTAACTTCCAGCTTTATTTCTAATAATAGTATTTCTTGAGGTGATCCGTTCGGTTTAATTCGAAATACGGGTATGCGGTTGAGTGTTCGCGAACATGTTGGTGCACTATCTGGTATTATACCATACTGGCGTGATAAAACAGCTAGTGATTCACATGAATTTATCTTGCGACGTTATATAGCTACGTCACGAGGTGTTATGATCACTTATCCGGCAACTGTGATTCGCGACAATTATGAACCTGACTTGCAACTTTGGTTAGCTTTTATCATGTTCTCACATTTAGAATTTCGGTTACTAAATTTCTATCTCATTGAATTTATTAATTTGTTTACTTATTACAAATTTTTTATCGTTCTGGACTGCTGTTTTCTGCAAATTAGCATTTATTGAAGTACCAAGCATTATTTTAGTACTTTAAAAAGGTTTTAATTCTTTGCTAGTATTTGCAAGTGAACTTTTAACTAGATGAGTTAGTGTGAACATGGAGTCCTTTATGTCAAGGGCCCATAGACTTTATTTAGAGCATTTCAATTCTTTTTACTAATGATTTCTGTCTCGATATAAATCTAAGACGAATTGCCAGTTATCTTATAGATGTATTTTTTTGCTTTCATTTCATCTTTGTTTAGGTATGTGCGTGCTAATGAATTTCCTGGAAGAATTGTTGTGACAGGACCGTTCCTGGAAGATAATGTGGGACAAGTTGTAACGATTTCGACTGCTGTTTTTGAAGGCAAATTTATAGTTGAATTACTAATTTTTAAGAGTTGCTGTTTTGTTTTCCAAACGGGCATGATTGGAATTTTTCCTATCTAAATTTTAGACGTCTTTTAGGTCAAGCTGGAAGTATGCACAATTCCAAAGATCAAGTTTTTGCTGTCGTTGCGATGGATGTAACCGTGGGGTTTTTTTCGAAATTGCTCCGAAACACAATTAACGTTTGCAAGGAGGTTTATTTTTTGCTCGTTACCATGATACTTATTATAATCCTCCTCAAAAATTAGAGTTAGATTAAAGTTCATGTTTTGTATTTTTTTTAAGTTAAAGTTCAGAATGGATTTTGCATGCATTTTTAAAAGGGCAAACATAACAACACATGTTTTAACCAAATGTAACCTTCAATTTTTATTGATTTTCAGTCACGGCGTTGCGTTTTGTTCGATGACTTAGGCAATGTGATTTCACGTGGGATAGAAACAAATGTGTCTAGTAAAAAAACTAAATCCTATGGAAGAAGCATTTCGTGGAATGCCGTCGAACGTTTCCATATCAGTTATTTGGAGCCTCAGCTTGCAACATATTTGATCACGAAAACAAAATTTGTTCAAAAAAGACAGTGTGTGCAGTGGGCTACGCGCTCAGTTGAACATTTCTTCCGATTCAATATTACGTATTCAGACGCTTTGACCGTAAATTTTTTTGAATTTTTTTTATTTTCCACTGTTTATTTTTATTTATGATTTCTACATATATGGAATAGTTTACTCAAGTGTCACTGACGAGCGGCATTAAGTCTTGTCGTAAAACAGAAGAATGGCTGATAAAATATATCTTCAGATTCCATGTGATGATGCCAGCTCAGTACCCGGTGTGAAATTGGGAAGTATCCGCGCGGAAGTGATCCCGGTGCCACAAACAAATTTGTTTCTTGCTCTTATAAATGAAAGTTGTGATCCACAACATCTCATCCAGGTTTTCTTATCAGTTTCGCTCGATCTATTTTCAGTCTGTGGAAGAAATATGTTTTGGTCTTCGTAATATTTCTCCAAAAGTAAATGAAAATGCTCAGTAAATGAAAACTCAATTCAAATCTTTAGGTTTTCTTCAAATTCTTAACTGTAGCTGCAAGTTATCATACTTATTTTCTTCACTTTTATACAAATATTTTAGAATATTTGACTTCCTGTCCGTGATCATGGAGTTTGAAATTTCCAGTATTTTCTAGCTCATCAGTCATGTTTCATATATGACCACTGATGTTTCAGGCATTTTGTCCATGTTCGGTTAGTGATCGTCGTTGTCTTTTGTGCACACGTTTCGATCATACAGAATGTGAATGTCCATGTCAGTGTCCATTAAACTGTAACGCACAGTGCGCAGTTAGTTCATCAAACGTTTCACTTTATCGGGTAATTCATTGCCAGATATGGAAACTTATTGCTTGTATGGCTGTGATTTATAAAATCGAATGTCGAAATGATATAACATCGAAATAATTCTTTGATAAATGGATGTTTTATACCATAATTCATAGTAATTTTTCTTGATAAAACTTTAGATTGCATCAGATTTCTATTCTTTTACTAAGATATAAGTAAGAATTCAAGGTTAGGTGAGATATTATTTAGGTCAAGAACAGAGTGTCACTTTGTGAGAAAATAGGGAATCTGGCTGATTTATTTTTGCGCTTTTTCAGAAAACCTCTTTTGTATCAAATGTGGAATGTTCAGATCTAGAAGAATGTCCAGTGATTGCTACGATCATTCCGTTCAGTGCTAGGCCATTGCAGAAAACTGTACTGTCAGAATGTATCAGTATTAGGTACTATTTTTTTTTAATTTTCATGCTTTGGATAAGATTTAGTCAGTCCAGCAGGTTATTATAAATTTAAAAGACAATGTTTTGTGACTATGAAATTATTTGATAAAATAAAATCAGGTTTAGTTCAGATATGTTTGTGAAATAATTGCAGATGTGAAAATTATAAAACGATAGACGATTGTCTAGGTATACTGGGATGTCAGTGGTGTACATTTGATAGTGACGGGCAAACACTTCTTCTGAATCCTTCTTGTGTCTCCACTGACCATTGTTTCGGTGGTACAAAAGGAAGACGTATTCGAGGTGCCTTTTTTATTTTAATCTCGATTTCATAGCCATTATCGAAGAATCACATATTCTTTAAAATTCGACTCAGTCCCATGTACTTATTCTTTAGGTTTCTTGGAAAGTGAGTCACATTTAGCTCAACAGTGGTCAGTTAGTGCACCGGTTGGACCAGTTGCTGCTGGAATAATGAGTGTTTTCTTAATTATGGTGTGGTTTTTATTTCTTTAATTTTTCAGTTAAATTTCCATTATTTTCCTGAATCTACACGACATAATTTCAAAACGTTGTCGAGGGAATGATAATGATCTATATCTCGTAGTTCACTAATAATTAGATACACTTGTAGTTCACTAGTAATTAGACACACTCAGTTTTGATAACAGTATGACATATAAAAATTGAAACTTTATTTTCAGGTTATAGCTGTATATTGTTATCGAAGCCAGATTAATCGTTTGGTAGAAGCGAATTCGCTCACAGATTCATATGGTGCGCCATTATGTGGGAGGAATTTTGAAGATGATGATTTTCAGCTTGATCATGATATTTCCGGATCCGTAAAAGGTATTAAAATTTATAATGCTATAGTTGACTTACTTTCTTTAATTGAAATTCAGGAGTTCGGGAAAATTCAAATGAAATTCAGTCTAACCGGGTAATTAGTTTAGAAAAACTGATAAGATGAGAAAGCTGTCACTGACATAAAAAACAGTTTCAGAAAAAGCAGTTGCTTTGATCCAACTGACGTCATTTGAAAGAATGTCTAACCCACTAGCAGCAGTCCGTCCACAGTACCGAGTCTCTCCACGAACCGAATCAAGCGATCAAGGTTATTCTACAATGACTGATCGCATGCAGGGTGATGAAAGTGAATGCGCTACTAGCAAGTTAGTTTTGATTTTTTTCTCTATTATGTGTTGTATTGTCAAACGTTGAATGCATGAATGTTTTCTAGTAGTCCGATGCGAAACTTAAAGTTAATAGATTTTTCTGAGGGAAGTTTTTGGACAGTAAGAAAGTAAGTAGTCTTGCTTGCATCAAACAAGATACTCTGTAATGTTGACGAGCCTATTTAGTGTGTAATCAAGCTGGTTATCCAATTTAAGAAGTGATAACTGTAGAAAAGTCATACTATCTCCAAGGAATTTAAAAAAAAAAGGAAAAAGACGGTCAGATTCCAGAAAAAGAAAAAAAAAACTGAATAAGAATGGTGGTTGTTGCATGAGAGCTGAAATGATTCTAACAGTCTTGTCGATAGTTGCTTAACTTCTAAGTTTTTAGACATGCTGCGACAGAGTTGTGTTATAGGATGTGTTGGCTTATGTTTGGTTTGTATCATCCACAGTACAAATCTTTTAAAAAAGGATTTGAGATTAATTTAAACTGTTTTACAAAACATTGTAATACAAATAACAGAACTAATGTCAACAGTGATCGGGAATGGTCTTTAAATTTAGTGAATCTGGCTGTCCAAGTTGTAATTTTGGCTAGGAGATTGCAAGCTGTAAAACGGATTGGAGATATCTGTAAGAGAAGGCTGAGGTTGGATGATAATTGTTGTGGAGTTGTAGAGAGATTTCTACATCGTTTCCTTCTGAACTCATCACACTCGAAGAGTGAATGAGGAAGTGAGGAGATGGAACAATAGATTTTGTACTGCACCAAAAAAAAACGTGTTAGGCTTAGTTTTGTTCGTGTTTTTAAACACATTATTTTATTAAACATCATTTTAATGAACTCATTATTTTAGTTTCAATGATTACTTCATGGTTTTTTTTTTTTGTAGATTAAAGCCGTATATCCTTAACTAATTATTTATTTACTTGCTGATAATTTGACGAAGTGATGAAAAGTTTTGAAGATTACTAATCCATTTAGTGTTAATATTTCGCGAGAAACGGAAAAAACAATATTGACAGCATTAGATAGAAATGAAGATGGTTGTTCGATCACTGTGACTACAGAAGCTGATATACACCAAGCACCACGGAGTTTGCTCATTTCTTCCTAGAAACAAATCCATTTATAGGGCTAGTTTTTATTGTTTTCGTTCGATTGTGATATTTATTAGAATTTAACTGTTGCTATTTTGGTAATGCTTCCATTTGAAATTCGGCTCGCAAAAAAAGAATTTACAGAAATTTTCGATTATTTTATTACTTCCATAAAATATTGTTACTATTGGAAAAAATAATCTTTTCAATACATTTTTCGGTTGATTGAGCTTTGTAAAATACTCTTGCAATCTTATAATTTTCCACTGGAAAAGGAGCAAATAGCATCAGTATCAGTTCATGTTTTCATTTTCGGTATCCATTTAAATCTGGTGTGCAAATAAGGGTAAAACATTAAAACAAATATCTTATTTAGGTTCATTCCATTTTTCGTATGATCTGTTTTTTTCATTTTTGCTCGATGAAGCCCCGTGTATAAATGTATGAAATGTGCTTAGCGTAGAAGCTAATTCTTCTTCTTTTTTACGTTTTTTTTAGGAAAGATTTTAACTAATTATTAAGCGAACTTATTAAATTTCATTGAAGGAACTCAAACAATGATTTTTTATAGATCAGATTAGTTTTAGATAATAGTTATTGAATAAAGTAATTCAAAATTTATTGCTGTATAGAATTATGTATTGGTTTTATGAAATTTATTTGCGTGTTACAATATTGCATCAAACAAAAACAGTGTATTTACGCGATATGTTTTTTTACATCCTCTTTTGTTTTAATTCAAATCTGGCATTTTTATCAAAATTGCGCTCAAAATGAACTTTCTTGTCACCAGTTTTTATTTCTACACTAACTAGGCAAACATTTCTTTTTTAGGGGCTTAAAAATGTATTGACAGTCTAAAAACGTTAAAGAATTTTCTACTAAATCAGATAAAATTTCTTTTCCATTTCTTTCTTGTCTTTCTCTCTTGTTTGCTTGAGGTTAAAAAAAAAATCTTATTGCCCTTGGGTATGCGCTACAAAGAAAAAGATAAAAATGATTAATTCTCTTTTTTTTTTTCAAATTTCAACTTCTCTGATCTAAGCGTATAACTGTATTGCTGCTATGAAAAAGCATTTTTGTTTTCAATGCATAAATACATCTAAACAACATCAACAAAAAAAACATGATAGTCAGAAAAAAAAACGACGAAAGGATTTTTTTTTTCGGGCGCGGTTTTGATAGAAATACTAAAATTTGTTGAGACGGAAAACGATTTATAGAAAATAAGTGAACAGCATAAAACCACTATATATTTTTATACAATATATAATCTAGTTAATTTAAGTACATTCGTACAATTAATGATTTCCGGAGACTCAAAATCTAATTTGCAAATGGAAGGTTGAATGAAGAGGATAAAATTTAATGGATTTAATCAGTGATTGATGAAAATTAATAAAATCGTGGAAAAAACAATGAACATTAGCTTTTCTGCGTCAAATACATTTTGTATACGTTTTATGCATGTGTTTTTATCAAAATGATTATTAAAAGCGTAACAGTCGTTACGAAAACAAAAATAAAGTTGAGTTGGATGCGTTTTTCATATATTTAATCAGTATGACAAACACAGGATAGAAATGAAAATATAATCAATGTTAATGATTGGTTATAAAATGGCCAAGTGAAAAAATAAGAAATTAGGGAAGTTATATGAATATTCCTATTCTTTGATCGATATTAGTTGTGAGCTGTAAAAAATAGCCAAATAAAAAAAATAAATTAGTTGAGTTATATGAATACTTTCATTTTTTGAAGATGAAAATCGTTCAACGATATGATTGGATGTTAACATTTGTTATTAATAATAAATAAGCATTTAACAACCTTTTCCAGGTTAAAATAATATTTCGATTATTATTCTTTTTTTCCCAATCTTTGAAATTTATAATATAATTTATTTCTGTTAACATTTTTCATCGAATTCTTTCTCAGGATTTGCTCAAAATTGTTTCTTTGGTTAGTTATTCCGCATTAAAAATATGTTAGATTTTTAAATTGATATAAATCTCATATATTCCCTTTCTTTTTCTTTTAAGTAATATTGATCGATAAATGTTGATAATAAATTATTCAAAATAAAATTGGTTTTCAATTCAATCTTCTAGTAAGAGAAAATTTTAATTGACATTTCTTTTTTCCATTTTTTTTCTTCGAATTGTTATGGTATGGTATGATAAAAATCATGTGAAAAATAATTACTGGTTTTATACAAACTGCGGATAAAAATATCTTATTTTAAGTGATTTAACTTAAATCCCTTTATAGGGAATGGTCAGCATGACAAAATGCGGACAATATTAGCAAAAGCATGTAAATATTTGTTTCCTTAATTTAAATTCATTTTTTTTTTCGGAAGATAAAGAAAAGAATTAGTTAAAGATAAGTGATAGAAAAGTAATGTCATGTTGACCAATTTCTTATTTTTCCTTAATCTTTTCTTTGTAAACTGTCCAACAGTTGTTTTTAATTATTGTCAATTGTCAATTATAATTAGTATGCATAAAAGTGTGTATTAATTTGAAATAAAGTTCACATGTTTTTTCAAGAAGTTTTTTGAAACTAATGAAATTAATAGGACAAAGAAAAACAGTTGTAAACCAGAATTAATTTAATAAAATATTATTTTAAATTACTACATGTAACCAAGATTATTACTAAAAGAATGTTAAAGTTTGTAACAAATTTCAATAGAGTCATCGGATTATGTAAATTTCAACTTCCATCAGTTGATATCAATTAACCAACACTTTCACCCTGTTCACCTTTCCTGAAAATTATATTAGCTTATTGCAAGATAAGAACTGAGAAAAAAAAATGGAAACAATTAAGTTGTTAACTCTCATTAGTAAGCAAAAAGTCAATTCCCGAAATGCGAGGAATATAATTGATATTAAGTAATTCATTTCCTTTTCATTCCTTCTATGAATATTTATTTATCCATCAGATGTCTCGCTTCCTCTTTTTTTTTACAACGAATCTAATAATTTAATTTATTTTACAAAATAATCGATTATTTGATATTCATATTTCATATGAGATGAAAAAATATCGATAGATATGACCAAGGATGGTAGTGAAATAATCAACTGGATAATTTATGGCAAATATCGGCAAACATGTATATTATATAACATGAAATGCTTAACAGTAAACCAATTCATAATCATTTTCACTTAATTGTGATTATTAATTAGAAATTACGCTCAGTTCAACTCTTTGTAAATTTTTAATTTTTTTTGGCAATGAAATTTACTTCATATGAGAGTTTTTACCAATAAATTCATTTTGATTCGGCAATTAGACGCAAAAGGTTGCATAAATGATGCATTATTTTTGAGAATTATTAATTCTGCAAGAGATTACTATGACCAATTGTATTGGATTTAACCTACTTTGAAATTTTACAAATTTTGAGATTAAAAACGCTAATCTTTTGATCT